TTAAATTATCTTCAAAAAGTTATATAATATGTAATAATATTTAATAATGTGTTATATTATGTAAGATCAAAAATAAATACAGAAATAAACTGAATTGGAGCGTTTGTCTGGCATGGAGGTAACTGGCCTGCTAAAGTATGACTTAGTATGTAGCTCATCTGCATTGCTAGTTCAGGTGTCTATCTTCTTCTTCTTAAACTGATAGTTTCTGTAGGGCTTTAGGTCAGAAAGTCAGACACATTTCATCATGAACTCATATGAAGTGGCAAACCCCCAAACTTCCCTGTTCTGTCCTTGGATTTGATAACAGTGGACCAGAACCAGCAGATGGCATGATTTCCTTCAAATAAAATCCTGAATCTACTTTCATCTGAGAAGTCTTTTTGCTATAAAGAGATTGCTGCTAACGCTTTCTCTGGTTCAAAGGTGGCACCGATGGTATGGAAAGAAAGCTGTTCCAATATTATTCAAAGCGAATAATGAGTTGAAGAATATTTAAACAATTTTTTTTTTAAATGTAGCTTAGAAAAAAAAGGTTCAGAGCAACGTTCAACCAATATTTTAACAGTTTGGTACTTTTGTCAGGTTTTCATTTTGTTATAATATTCTTAAATTTTTTTTTTAACCGTAAGTTTTTTTAGACAGTTTTTTTTTTCTTTTTTTCCCCCTCCAAATTAAAGTAATTTTTTTCAGATTTTCTCTTCTCTGTTTTCCCCACATTCTATTTAAGCAAATTATTTTTCATATTTTATTTTTTCAAATTTTTTGTGAGATTGAGTTTTACAGATTACATTATTTTCTCGTCTTATAGATTTCACCTCCGATATTTAACGGCTAACAGCATTACTCTTGGTCTGTGTTCATAACCAATAGAAATGAGCCTGCTGTGCGTGAACGTCAGCAACAGCATTTCTATTGGTCCAGGCACAGACCACTCTGAAGTGTAGGGGGGAATCTGTAATGGAATTTAACTCTTTTTTTTTTGCAATTCATACAACTCAGTCTCCCAAAATTCTTTAAAAATGTTAAATTTCAAAAAATTTTTGAAAGAAATATGTGAAAAATTAAATCTGAAAAATATAAATTAGTGAAAAATCAGCAAACTGCAACAAAATTGTTAAAATTTTTGAATACCCATTAGGAATTATTAATACCCTTTTTTGACTGAGCATTTTGCATTTTGTTCAAAGAATTTTTTTAAACATGTTTTTTACTTACGTAACATTGGAACACATTTCTCTCCATATAATGGTCTTGATGAAAGTAAGTAATCAAAGTTCCTGTACGTTCCCATGCAGATGCGCTTTGGGCAGCAGAAGCAGCTGCTTTACATGCAAACCTATGGTTGATGTGCATCAAAAGGTCCTTCGGCTTGTGCAGAGCTTCGCCTCATGAGCTTCTGAGTATCTGAGGCGCGTAACGCCCTTCACAAAGAGCAGATGCTGGAGTTGGAAAAACTTAATATTTGCTCCTTGATGTACCACCTCAACCAATCAGAGAAGCTGATCTGAGAGCTGGCAGGGAGACGGAGGCCGTTTCTCAACATGTGTACTTCTTTGTTCTCATGTGCTCACGAAACGGCATCAGCATCTGCCCAAGCACTATTCCATTTCACAAGAACAGAAGATCGACAAAGGACAAAGTCTCTGGATGTTGTTCTCGCCACCCCCTCTTTACCCAGCATGCATCAGAGCAGACCTGTCAGTTTTCCAGATTGACAGCTGTCCCAGCATGCACTGCGGCAGCAGCGGCTTCCAGGATAGCCCTCATAGAGTGTTAAGTTAAAAGTTCTCTTTTCTGTTGCCGTTGTTCTATAAAAGTATGTTTTAAGAACATTTGAGGCGAGAACATTATACTTTAATCTTCACTATATGGCCCATTTACTTATTTTATTGCATAATTTAAAAAAAAGTTCCAATGTTGAGAGGACCTTGGCAAACAGTGGAGATCCAAAATCATTTGATTTGTGTTAATCTGACTCTGTTAATCATTATTCCCCAATTAAATGAAAAAAGTCATAATTTATTATTTTCTAGAGACTTTTAACAACAGGACGGTAACGAAGTTCCAGATGAGCAAAGTGTGTGGTGACGTCACAAGTACGCTTCTGTTCTCCCAGAATACATACTTTCCTGTGTTCTTTTCAAGAACAGACTTGGCGAGAACACAAGTCCGTACTCACATTGTTGTGAATTGAGAAACGGACAGACACAGCACTGCTGATGCAGAGCGCTATGATCATTCCCCTGGAACAGTTTATTAACACCTAAATTAACTTAAAATGTTGAAACCTGCGGGCAAAATATGTTCGCTTTTATTATCCTGGTGGCTGCAGTTTGTACCACTGCTAACATGGGTCTAAGGCAGCTGCTGCTGGGGATTCCCAGTGACAGCGCAACACCAGTATGTGGGAGTCTAAGCGGCTCCGACAGAGAAATAATATTTGAAGGCAGGATGGTAATCTGGATTAACTGACTGCATAGACCATGTTTTCAGGTGGACTTTCCCACTTAAAAATATATTTAAACTAATTTTTACCCACTGATCACTGCAAATGTAGCAATATCTGCCATTGAACACAGGAGCAGCAGAAGCATCAGATGCATCTGGACACACTTTACTGGACGTCTGACATGAATGTGGACAAACATAAGAAATTAAGCAGCAGAAGCTTTTTTGCTGCTAAAATAACAGTGTGTATGTAGCATAAAGAACTCTGAGGGCCAAAGCTCTACTTCCACCTCTCTTTAAAGCAGTGTTTCCCAAACATTACAGCCTGTGACCCCCCAAAAAAGCAATGCAACAGATAAGCAACCCCCTAAGAATACATATCCACTAAATTACATCACTCTATAATTATTATATATATATATAAAATGAAATAATACAGTATATTAATTCTAAAATAAAATGCTATTTGTTGTTATTTAATGGGACATTTAATTATTTAATTATACCCTCTGTTCTAAAGACTGGCTCAGCTTTTCCTGCCAAAGGTTCTTCTTCCACTAAACTTTCAGTTTCTTTGCTTGGATACAGCAAAAATGACTGTTTTTTAGGCAACAGCTAAGTCTGTCTTGTGGTTCTTAAGACCTTAACCCCTAGAACCCTACAGAAAACCATTCTATGACATCTTACCTTTACAGAGGTACCAAAAGTTTCTTCTTAAATCTAATAGCTGTGAGGCTATAAGTGGTTTACTTTTGTGTGTTTTTGTCAGGCAGAAATTTATTTATACCCCCTGAGGGTGTAAGAGGTTAAGAGCTGAATTTTTTTGTTGTTTTTCTTTTCTAACCAGCTGTAAGTAATGAACAGATAAACATTTGAAATATATCACTATGTGTATCATAAATCTAACCTGGATGGGGGTTTTATTTCAACTGAGTTCCTTAAATAAACTTTTCAATGATAATTCATGTTAATCCATTGAGATGTACCTGAATCACTAAAAAAACAAAACATGATGTTCAACTTTTGTTTAGCAAAGGCTGCAGAGTCTCACAACTTTAAGTATTTCTCCAGTTTTATCTCACTGAAAAAAATGAGATTAAATTAACCCCAGTGGTTGTTCTCCTCAACACAGCAGGTTTTACCAGGTGAGGGTGGCCATGGAAAGACTTTTACTGGTCTTGGATGCAGACCGAGCAAAAGGTGAGAAGATGTTAGAGGGAATAAAGAAAAAATAAAATAGAGAAAAATCAAATCAAATCTGTCCCCTTTAGTTTTTACTCTGTCATTAGAATTCTCACGTTTGCCTGAGATGCTTAGTCCCCTCAAGACAACGCTGTTTCCCGTGCCTGCCCTAACTATGAAGCGGCAGTTTGGAGAGTGGATTCCTATTGGTTATTCAACATATATAACATTATATTATTAACATTATACAACTTCCTCATTGGCCTGTAGGTATAAAGAAAACGGGAAAAAAGGATGTTCCTTTCATAACCACAGGCCAAGCAGCTACTCAGTCACAAACATAAAACTGGACTTTCTGTCCTCCACCATTAGCCAAGTAAAGGGTTCCCACTTGATCACAGTCGCAGATTGAAAGTCTAAAACCTCCTTTTTTTAAATTTTTGGTTTGTTTTGAAATCAGTAACATGTTACAGTGGGCCCTCGGCCCACTGATTCTGCAGTCAGTGACGACAGCCTTGCCGATTACTCTGTGCTAGGATACCCGATTTTGGTGACATCGAGGCTGACCTTAGAGTCACCTCCCCCGCTGCCGCACTCTCCCTTGTCGTACCACCATTTGTTTTTCAATTTGTCCAAGAGGCCTTGCTCATTCAGTTTTAACACTGCCAGGTTAACAGCATTTCTTGAAACGATAAAACATAGCTTGTAAGAAAATGAACAGGTCCGTGAGAAATCTAATATGAAAGAATTAGTAGGTAATAGTGATCATTATCAATGGTTCATTAGGGTAGAACGGGAGGGACAAATTGGCAAAGAGTTCCACAGGAGTGGAGGGATAAAAAAGCACTTTTACAGCAGAAAGGAAATGTTAAGAATTAGAGAGGTGGCATGGAGGGTTACATTGCTTGTAACTGAAGTGTGCGGGATGGGGACATTCTGTCATTGCTTGAGGAAATATCAGGGGAAAAAAACATCCAGCATGCAGCTTAACACTCATCACGACTGACACACCAGCATGTGAACTAGCAGAAATGATTCAGAAATAAATAGAGAGAAAGTGGAGGTAATGCAAAAGGAGCACCACACATGACGAGGAGGAGGAGAAGGAACTGAAAGAACGACACGAGGTGGGGGGCACATGGACACACAGAGAGGGAGTCAGAAAAAAACAAACAGATAAAATTAAAACAAGACAACGATGTGCTGATTCAGTTCAGGTAACCCATAATACTGTTCACCTAGAGATGCACTTGGAAACAAAACAGAAGAATTAAGGAGTGAGGAAGAAGATTATGACAAAAAGGAAACATCAGGGTAGGTGGAATACTATAGCAACATGGAGGAGATTGTTATCTTATCCCACCCACCCTAATGCTGAGCCTTTAGGCGTGGCCACGCCGTAGCCCTTAGAGTCCAGGTTGCCGCCCACTTTCATGGTGTCGCAGGGCTTCCGCTGCTCTATGTACTCGTTCATCGTGGATTCCAGCAGAAACGCAAACTTTCCCTTCGACTTCCGCACCCGGGAGACCCCGTCCGGTGTCGTCTTCACAAACACAGATGGTTCAGCTGATTTCATGTAGGACCACATTTTCTCATACACGGCTATTTTGGAGCGCTGCATGGAAAGGGGGAGAAGGAGAGAAGACGGCAGAGGGTTAGTCGTGCATAATGACTAGAGAGAAAAGACTCACCTACAAAATACAGCAAAGGTCACTGGATCCTTCAAACTATGGTTCCAGTCACTGCAGAACTGGATTCGAATCAAATCAAAAGGAAAGTTTGAACCCAGCTCTGCTCAACTCAACAACACACAGAACCATACAGCGTCCAGGAAGGCAACCAGGAAGAAAACTGGCAAAAAAAAGACGACTCATGGAATGATTGTGGACATAAAGCAAACTGAAAACTAACTCAGACAATTCCTTCTTGGTCTGCTGTCGAACAGAGAGGTTGGCTTGAGCAGGGAAGGTGGGGCTACATGGTTTGGGGTTAAATGCCAGCTGGAATCAGAATGCTCTCCTTGTGCAACTCTGGGTTCTATCAGGGTTCCATGGCTTCCTCTCACAGCCTGAAAATATGAACCTAAGTTTGTTCATTGATTCTAGAATGTCCACAGGATAGATGGATGACAGACGGATGGACAGACAGGTGGATGGATGGATGGATGGATGGATGGATGGATGGATGGATGGATGGATGGATGGATGGATGGATGGATAGAATGATGGATGGATGAGTGGACTGGATGGATGGATGAATTGATAACGGGTGGAGGGATGTTTTGTACTAAAGTAGTTCTTTCAGATAATCTACTGAGAAGCCTTGAATATGGAAATACACACTATTCATGTTTTTATAGGAATCTACATTTTATTCAACAAATATTGAGATTTTTGTAAAAATTCAAGGTTATGAAAGGAATATCTGTCTGAATTTATCAGTAAGGAAACATGTATTTTTTTACTCTACTTATGCTGGACTCACACTGAATGCTGCGACCATGCTGACCCAGCTGTAGCTCCAGTTCGCACCGCAGCCACACCGTGTTCAGTGTGAGCCGGGCGTTATTCAGGTAAAATCTCTTACATGCATTTTTGCTTCTAGCACACATTAAAGTCTACTTTCTGTATCTAACTACTCAGGGCTGTAGAAGAAATGTGGTTTGTGGTAGAATCTGAGTTAAACTCACATTTGTTTGAGATCTTTTGAGTCTAATTTCTGGTCCTGGTGATTCTCTTAAATAACAAAAATATTATTCTGAATTTTTGCACCTTGCTAATGAAATAATATTGATCTTAACTAATATTGATGATCCTAAGGTGAATGACTGACTTTTATATTACAGACTCTGATTTGTTTGGGTTTAATGGAATATCACTCCAAGCTTTCAGAAGGTAACCTCCGTCAACAACCTTCTTCATCTGTTACTTTAAAGCTTTACTCTTCTTCTTCTTTGGTCTTCTCAGCGCAGACTTCTGTGCATTTGCATCACTTTTATTGTTTCTGTATCTACTGGATGGATCGATGACCCGTCCAGGACTTTCAGTACATCTTTAGGAGGAGTTCAGACCCTCAGATTTTACCACCTTGAGTGATGACCACCGTAAATATTTAATACCTGATAAAAGTAAGGAGAACTTTGTTACTACTGATAGAGTCTGGTTTACAGTACCCAGTACTATTACATATTGTCACAAGAATATAGGTCTCTACGTTTTTAGATAAAGATTGAAGGTTTTTAGAGTTATAGCAATGTGTTGATAGGGGAATCTGTCAATGAAAATAAAAATCCTGAGGAAAGTAATTAATATTTCATCTGCGACTTCTTCCTCTCATCCACAGTTTAATGTCTCAGGGGTCTAGATGTTCCCACAGCAGGACATGAAGTGAACCTTGAACTTATCTCCAGTCGCCCTGTTGGACAGAACAAGAAAGAAACCAATCATGCAGACTGACAGTCAGGACTTTGGCTTGTAGGAGGCCGAACCAGCAGAAATCCAGTAGATCTTTCATAGAGTATATTAACAGTAAACATGGAAATAGTTTAAGACTTGCATTGAGTCGGAGAGTGTTTCTTAATTAGAGACTCCACCACTTCTGCCAGAAAAAATTACCATTTTATGTGTATGCCATATTTATGTAACGGTGAAAGGTTCCTCTAAATGATGGAACCAACATTAGCGAACCCAACAACACACAACTTTAACATTAGGCTGCTAAATTTTAAAAAGCAACACAATCCAAAAAGCACCAGCAACCATTCAAGTCCAGACTCTTTTTACAAATGATGCAAATGATCGATTAATGAATAATCTTAAGCTAACTGACCTTATCAATCAATTAATCAATTAATAAGGAGTAATTTTCCTATAAACTGATTGTTCTGAGTCATTAACACTCCTGCCATGATACCACAGGTCGGGTCAGAACCAGAGGGGAAGTAGGTTTGCTCATGTCAGAGGGCATCATCCTGACAGTTATCGCTCTCCTATACAACCGAATGGATTCTACGTGCGAATGCAAAGCGGAGTCCTGGCAGGCTTTCTGCCAGCAGCCTGAGGTCAGACAATCTGGCAGCTCAGCAGAAGTAAACCCCAGACCCCGTTTAGCATCAATATTAATGGGCAGATGAGCCCCAACCTCATCTCAGTTTATGCTCCTGCTAGCAGGGGACAGCTGGTGACACAATCATTGCATTTTTATTTCTTTCTGGCCCAATTATTTATAACATTCTTGTCCAAGGAACATTTTTCATGCCTGCGCTGTGTTTATGGAGTTTTTAACTTTTAAAACACAAAGGATTTCTGTTCTAAAGAGCAGCTTCAAATGCAGCAGAAGGACTAAAGAGAACATATATACGCTTATGCTTATGATTTTCATAAAACATCTTTATGAACATTCAAATTGTATGACATCTGTAAACCTTTTTTATTCTGAATTTAGTGGCCCTCATCTTATCTTTTCACCTTTATATGTGAAGCATTATAGTACAGAGTGTTACAGTGACGTCAAGATCAAAATAGGAGGAGCTGGATAAAGCCATATGATGCCCTATTGGCACAAGGGTGCTGATTTGAATGTTAGCTTTTAATTGAATCTTTTATCTGAACAAGGGCTGAATCATTTTTTTTTTTTCAGATGAATCAATAATTGAAATAATCATCAACTAATTGGGTAATGGAATCGATCTGTTATCTAGAGTGATGTTATATAGACTCTAAATACCATCTGTCATTCACACTAATGAATAACCTACTTACAGCAGTAATGGTCTATATGCCCAACTCCACTACGTCCTGAACTTCAGCAGCTCCTTGGTTTCCTGTCTTTCATTACTGGACAAACTGATAAATCCAGGTGTGTCTGGCCGTTCTCGCCATGGTTACTGAGATCACACACCAGAAATATAACGTAGCCCATTGAGACAAAACATTCATGAAATACAAAGAATATTTTTTATGTGTACTAGAGGTGCCACTAATGACTAATGACTTTCAAACAACTAATCTTTCCATTAATTTTTCGATTAGTCGACTAATCTTAACAACCAATTTCTAAAAAAAATCCCCCATTGGGGGTTTGCAGGGTAGCCGCTGGATGGTATGGAAGCCCGTTTCCACCGCATGAAAATAAAAAAATGCCAATTGGAAAGTCATAATAGTCAAATCAAAGTCATAATTATGAGATACAAAGTTTGAAAGTCGAATATCTCAAAATTCTGACTTTGAAAATAAATTATGAGTAGTACCAGACATGTTGTAGCAAGTAAAGGAGCTTTAAGACAGGACATGACATGCACAATGTTGTGCTCTTAAACCCATTATTTTTAATGGCATGTGCTGAGGAAGGGTGCGAATGAGCTGGGATGTCCAATGCACAGTGCAAGGAGAGTTCACTTTGACCATGAGTGCAGATGGAAAGTGCAAGTGCAGTGCATACTTAGCGGCTCTGTCCTTCAATATAGTACACACATACATATAGCTTGTGGTCTAAAATACGTACGTTTTTCGAAACTAGCTTTTGGGATTTCATAAATATCCTAACCAGAGGTTTTAAAAGTATTATAAATCCTGCTGTTTAAAAACACTTTTGTAGAAGTTAGAGGATCAACTTAAACTTTTTACTCCAGTAAAAGTATAACAGTACAATTTTTAAACTGTTTCAAGTAAAAAAGTAAAAGTAATGCAGGAAAAAATGTTTTGTTGTACTGCACTACCCTTTTAAACAAATATTTTTGTACCTCTGGATGATAACTTCCTTAGACTTAATTTTCTTAGTGTCAAATTTAACTTTGCATCATCTTGAAAATGTTATTTTGGTATGTAGTCAACAACAAGTTGGGGAAGCACCGAGTCCAACCACAAAGAAATAATGGTCTGGATGAAACTAATTATTTTGATGTTTTCTTTTTTTTTTTAAATACCAACAGGCCATAATGAAAATTAGCTTAAATGAAGCAAAACTAATTAGTCTATTTTAAAAAAGTTAATAGTATAAAGTAGAGATAATTGCAAAAAATGTAAAGAGCAGAATTAAAAGGTGTCTAATGAATAATTAATAAAGCAATAACCAACATTTCTACTTAAGGAAACAAAGCATTTGTACTTTGTTACTTGACACCTCTGATCCTAAGTTATGTTAATTGTGCTGATTTGTGATGTTTTAAAGAACAATGTCAAAAATCTGTCCCATATTTTCATATTTAAATGGTAGCAAACAGATGTAATATATAAAAAATTCAAGGTCTTGGTCCAATTGTCTCAGAGAAAACGTCCCCAGTCTCCCTTATATGTTCGAATCTTCTTTTAACATTTTCTGTCGTTTAAAATTTATATTAAATACACTATTTTATTTCTAAGTTTACAAGATGAATCTGTTTAGATCTTATTTATTAAAAAGGACTTTCTCTGATTATTTGATTAATCAACAAAATCAACCATAAATTAATTGATTACTAAAATGAATATGAATGAATAGCTGCAGCCCTAATCTGGAGATATTAACTAAGTTAGATCACTCTTTTTATGCTAAGTGATAAAAAAAAAGCCAAGCCAAAATCATTGAAAAGTACTTTTTTGGTGTAGAAAAATTCATTTCCAAGATAATTTGCACACA